TGTATCAGAAAATTTAATAAAAATTTTGGGTGATTTCGGAGCTATTTTTTGAAAAAACCATGGGCTATAGCCTTGGGTATTTTTCTGAATTTTGGCATTTTCTTAAAATGGCCATAACTCAAAAAATTGAAGTTGGAATCAGCTCAAACTTTCTATACAGCATAAATACATCAATATGTATCAGAAAGTGTAAAATTTTGGGTGATTTTGGAGCCATTTTTTGGGAAAAAAACCATGGGCTATAGCCTTGGGTATTTTTCTGAATTTTGGCATTTTCTTAAAATGGCCGTAACTTGAAAAATTGAAGCCGGAATCAGCTCAAACTTTCTACACAGCATAAGGCCATGAATATGTATCAGAAAATGTAATAAAAATTTTGGCTGATTTCCTAGCCATTTTTGGAAAAAACTATGCATGCTTTTACATGTACTGCTTAAGTATTGGGTATTATTATTCTGAAATTGCAATTATATTTTTATTCATAACTCAATGACTCTCCTCCTATAGTCTGAGGAGTTATTACGTGTGTATCCTCCATATATAAATTATTTTGAAGTCACTAAGGAGGCTCTCAGTTCCTGTGATCGTCAGTTCCCAAGGTTTCATGCTTTCCTTAAGTGTAATGAGTCCAAACCAGAGTGTGGCCGCCAGACACTATCAGAACTACTGATAACACCAGTACAAAGAATACCAAGGATCATATTATTACTACAAGGTTCATGTATATTATATAAATACTAGTATTTACATGTACTGTACATTGTAATTTAGCTGATGTTGGGTAAGATAATTCTCTCATTTTGATAGCCTTTTTCCAATTAAAGCCCATCATTTTGAACCATATATGTACATGTTCAATGGGACATGTGAATATATATTAAAACCTGCCAATCACCGAAAATTAAGCAATGCACCAAAATTTCATCTCTCAACAATTACAATGGTCACTGTACAGTCCATCTACATGCATGTTTTATTGTTATTGTTATTTTTATTATTTTTATAGATTTATTAAAGCGTACTGATACTGGCCACATTGATTACAAGCAGTTGGAGGAATCAGTTGAAAAACTTAAGAATGTAATGGAGTGAGTTATACATCACTACATGTACATGTATTTTATTTATTTATTATTATTAATTCTTCTAGACACATAAATGAAGACAAGAGGAAGACAGAGAAGCAGATGCACATGTTTGAACTTATACGTGACATTGAGGATGTCCCGGTAATTAGTAGGTGTGGTCTTTAATAACTGACTCCTCCCCTTTAGCCGACGGTCCTTTCATCTCATCGTTGGCTTATTTCAAGACATGATGTGCTGGAGTTAAATATTAGCAATAATGGAAAGACTAATAAACCATTGTCTATAGCATTGTTCCTCTTCTCTGACAGCATTGAGGTGAGATAGAGGAAGTGTCTCATTTTTATATGTTAATTTCACCTGTACTATAGCCCATGGTTTTTTTCCAAAAAATGGCTCCGAAATCACCCCCAATTTTTACATTTTTTGATACATATTAATGTCCTTATGCTGTGTAGAAAGTTTGAGCTAGTTCCAACTTCAATTTTTCAAGTGACAGCCATTTAAAAAATGAGCCAATTTTTGAAAAATACCCAAGGCTATAGCCCATGGTTTTTTTTTTAAATGGCTCCGAAATCACCCCCAATTTTTATTACATTTTCTGATACATATTGATGTTCTTATGCTGTATAGAAAGTTTGAGCTGATTCTGACTTCAATTTTTTGAGTTATGGTCATTTTAAAATCCCAAAATTTTGAAAAATACCCTGTACTATTGGATGGTGTTATTAATTAGTGTCCCTCCCTCCCTCTCTCCTACAGATTGCTAAGATAAGAAGTGGTCATGGTTTTGTTGCTATGAAGGACTCATACAAACCATACAGGTACATGTACATGTATTTTTAGTATACATGCATGTACAATGAACTCAAGCCGTACGCGTACGCATGCCGTACGCGTCTTAATTTTCGAGGCGTATTAAATTTCGTTATTTTTGTGCTCATCTTAAATCCACGAAATTTAAACCACCTCTAATGCCATTCTATTGTATGTAGACTATGGCCAGAACACGAAAATTAGCTCACACGAATATTAAATTTTGAGCAAATTTAATTGAAACACGAAATTTTGAACCCTCGAAAATTTGAACGTATACAGTACATGCATGTACATATACATATACATGTAATGTATGTACATGTATATGTATTACAATTGTTCTTGTTACTATTTTTAGACACTTGGAGTTTCTCACATATTCTAATATTAGATCAGTTATTGATTTCACTGACAGTGAAGGTACGTCATACATGTACACAATATTTATTTATTTATTTATTTTTATTTATTTATTTATTTTATTAGATGTTGTTAATGGTTTTGGTCTGTTAGTCCATTGGTCTGATGATCCTCAGGAGAGATTATTAACTTTTAAAATTAACGGAGACTCATCAATTAAAACAGAACTAATTAATAAAATATCTCAAATGATGTGTACCAGTAACTGTGCCCCATCTCCAGTGAGTGTAGGGTCATTATTAATAGAGATGTACCAATATGGGTTTTAGCTGATATTCCGATATGCCGATATTGACATAGCCATTACTGGCTGATACCGATACCGATCCGATATTTTCCTTTCTACCTTCTAGGCACAGGTTTATGCATGTAAAATGTGATTTATACACTCCCCCAATTTAGTATCTTGACTAATTATCAAGTATTTCTAGTTATAGAATCATTTTGACATTTATTGTATCACATAATTGTATTAAAATTAATTAATTAACCCTTTATTCTCATGCATATGACCATGTGTTCCTATATCTGCAAGATGCATGCAAAGAAACCGATAACCGATACTATGAAAAACAGGCCGATAAGCCGATATCCGATATGCCGATCCGATTATCGGGACATCTCTAATTATTAAGATTAAAAGCACGAGCTATAGTACAGGGGTTTTTTGGCATTTTGATAACCATTTGCCAAAATTAAAACCAGCCATTTCGAGCCATTACATGTATGTACATTGTACATGCTCAATGGCACATGGACACAAATTTGCCAAATTAAAATTTGCCAATCATAAAAACTTTAGTAGTCTTCCAAAATTTTACCCCCCCCCCAATTTTCAGCTATACAGTAATCTATTCCTAAAATGCTCATAACTCAAAAACTGCTCAATTAGCTCAAATTTTATTTATACATGTACATATGTATGTATCATAAGGCATTGACTATCAACATTTTCTATTTTTAATTATTTTTGTTTGTTGTTGTTTACAGGATATGTTTGTATGGAAGACCTCATCAGATATATTACACTCAATGCCAAAGACTGGAGGTAGCATTGGACCCATTGATACTGGAACCATTAAAAGAGCATTCACGTAAGAGAGAGAGAGAGAGGGAGAGGGAGAGAGAGGGAGGGAGGGAGGGAGAAAAAGAAAGTGTTTGTGTACATGTATTACATCAATCTATTATTTCTTGATTATTAATTATTAGTGATAGTATTAAAGGAATGAGAAGGAAAGTGAAGAGAACTATATCAAATCGTTCCAATAGAAGACCATTCACACCATTGAGGTACTTATAGATATACTGTATAGAGAGAGACTAGTGACATATTATGATATTATTGTGGTACATATTGTATTTATATTATTAGTAAAAATGTTGATCAGTTAGACACAATGGATGAATCATTTACTGATCTTGTAAGTAGTATAGTATTAGTAAGAATACTATGAGTGACATACCCTCCCTCCCTCTCTCTCCTCTCATAGGATTCTACTCTGAATACTTCTACACTATCAGTAGCTCCTCCTTTTCCTCCTACTCCAATGAGAGCTCCTCCCACTAAAAGACAAGCATTAGGATATGGACATTCATTTAGTTCAATGGATCTCACTAAATTAGGATCCACTGGTACACTCTGATACTGTGCATGTATCCCATTAGATTGTTATATTTTATTTTTATAATTCTCTCCTCTCTCATCATTGTTGTGTCTTTCTCTATTAATTATTATTACTTAACTACATTGCATTTAACTCTCTCTCTATAATTGTCTCATAGCCCAAGCTAATTTAGTTTAATTTTCTTGCAATTGTTTACTTTTATAATCATCAAAAATGACGAATCCAAAACGTGAATGCACATGTGTAATATACCATTATAGCTGGCAACTTTTGAGGGATAAAACTTTCATGGATCTGCCCAAAATTCATTTTCATGGATTTCATTTTCAAGCATTTATAGCTATATACATGTAGCTACATGTATGTGAAGTGTAATTATAATATATGCTTGCTCCAGCCACATTAATCTATCCTGATCATTGACCTAATCACTGTGTTAACACTTTCAACTAGATAGGCACTAGTCTTATCTACAGGCTATAAAGGAACATGCAAGTTTTAAAGACCGGAATATCATCAATATCAGTAGTCTTGATATCATTAACAGGTTTATACCATAGATAATAGGTTACATAGTCTCTATTATCTATGTTTATACATGTATATAAGCAGGGATATTACATTTATCCCTGATATGTGTTATCTCATTACGTTATAGTACGTGCATGTTCTTTTGCCAATAATATTTATAATTGTATAATTATGACTGAAATCAAAAGATATGTTTACTATGTTACTATAACACACTATATTAATAGGCAGCATTATGCAATAAAAGTTCTATACTAAGTACTGAGCATTATTATTAAATTGTAGCTTTTAAAAATTCATTTCACACATTCCATTGAAACCTTTTCAGGCATCAAATCATAATTTTCTCGGGGCGGATAAAGTTTCTGTTAAATTTAGTTATAACTGTTGGATTAGTATACTTTTCTTACCCAAGTTTCAATCCTTAGATCATTAATTGCTTTTTTAAATCCTCTATTATTATTATTGAGTTAGTCTAATGTCATTAATACATTCTTTACTTACTCTTGAACTGTCTTTATTAATCCTCTATCACCACTGACAAAGAAAACACGCCATGGGAGATTGGCATGATATCTTTCTTGTGCCTAATAATACAGTGTAGTATAATTAATGTCACATTATGATAAACCTAACCCATCTATCAGTCCATTTTCCTGTTGAGTCATCATCACGATAATAATATTGTGTCCAAGTTTCATTTCCTTCATATCCATTTAATACCAGCTACAAGTACATACCCATGATACGTGTGTTACTATTATAAATTAACTTAATTACATCAATAATGAGATTACATTCAATTTCATCAATACCAGTTGCTTTTACAATAGCTTCTTTCTGTTAAATAATTATTATAATTTATGCCACTTTCACTGTAATTACCAAGTCATCTGGATTCTTATTCCAATCTTCTGGTGGTATAATATAACCAATTTCTGCAATAAATTTAGATTCGTCCAAACAATCTAGCAGTGTTTGCACCTACAATGTACATTCCATTTTTTATATGTAGTATTAATTTCACTAACAAGAGGATCTTTAACAGACTCTCTGATGAGAATAAGAACACTGTCAGTGAGTTGTGTATAAGCAACCATACTTCTAGCAGCATCAGATATAGTCACCTTACTGTATTATTAATGTGGTAGGAATAAAATGCCAGAATTAATATTACCTATTAGTGTCTTGAATCAATTCAGTATTATCTGCTCTTGTTAACATTACTTTGATCCTGAACTAGTTATAAATAGTAGACACGCATAGATGTACTTACATTAAAGCAACAATTCTTATTTTGCGAACATAATATAAATCCCTGTAAAGGCGACTATGAGTGCTGAAGAAATCATTGTATGTCTCCAAATCCTATTATAGTAAAATGTGGATTTAAATATAATATTATGTAATTAATGTTTTCTAACATCTTCATGGAAGCAGATGTGTAATTTACCATCATCACACCTCAAAACATAAACTTTGGCAAGGAATACTCTGTAGTTAAATAAATTGGACTATAGACAATATCACCAATATATAACTACCTCCATTTGAAATTGATTTTTGCTCCCATAACTGCAGCATCTCTTGTTGTGTAATCAATTACTTTGACATTCATTTGACTTTCATTTAATATGATCTGTGATGTACATATACTTACTGTACATAAAATACAATTATTTCAGTACCTCATACAGAAATTCTTTGTCTTGGATACACTGCATCTAATAGTAATTGTAATCATAATGCTCATGTACACAGTTTAAAATTATTATAAAAAATATTAGTAATTTTACGTACTTTCCTTTTTTCTCTCATAAGTTCTTTGATGAAGGTAATAACTGCTTCAGGGTTATTGAAATATCTTCTAAAAGACTCCATTAAGTCTTCATTATCTTCTAGCATGTATTGAAACATATTGACAGATGCTTCAGAAAAATTCTGAATTGATACAAAAGTACATTATACTAATTAATGTACAGTATATACTTACATCCCAAGGCTTTTCAATGTGCTGTTTTTGACATATTTCCTTCAGGAACAAACCAAAAATGTGAGAGAAAGGACCAACACCCAGGTTAAAGCAAAGAGCAGCAATTTGTACACACAAAACATCAGACTCAGTAATATTCAGCTCAGGTTGTTTCCTTTGAAGTTGCTTAACATATTCTCCAGCAAAATAGTACATTCTAAAAATATCAAGCTATACTGTTTGGGTGCTAAATCTAATTAACTCTTACCCAATGCTATGCTGAAGTTTTGTATAATTTGCTTTTGTCTTGTTTTCATAAGTGTAACCTACAGTAAATGCAAGCAGGATTTTTTAATGGTTTTTATACATGTACATGTATAATAGTTTACCTAATGTGGTGATTTTTTTTAGTCTTTGAAATTGACGTGTTTGTACAATTTTTATAATCAATGGATGATCAATGATTATGTCACCATAAATGTCATCTTCAAATAGCTATATACAATATAACAGGTTAAATTTAACATTGAAGTAGATTTACAGTTTGCTTACAAGAAAATCCTTTCCTTGTGGGGAGGATAAACTTAAATTATAAAATTAATATTGCTAAAGTAGCACACACTTTTTTGTGTGTGTCAACTAACACTTACTTCTCCTTTGGCTTAGATTTTCAATTTTCTGTTGAAATTTAGTATGTTCTTTTTTGATCAAATATATACCACTAGTTAATATACACATTATAGTTAAACTACAGTTGTACCTTGCTTCTCAATTTTTTGCAAATTCATCATTGTTATTTTTGCTTGTAATAAGTCAATTTCTTTCTTACTTTCAGCTGGTGATATTTTACATTTTTCTGAATAAGAGGTATGAACTCTTGATCTGACTACTGACCTTGTACTTCTTTGATTTTATCATCTTTTTGTTTTATTTCTCTTTTTAAACTTTTAATTTCAACTTCCATTTCTTGTTGTGTTCCTAGTATATAATTATTAGATAAAGTAGAATTTAAAAATTTTTGATTGTTCAGTAGCATTTAAATGTTTTCTGTCCCTTTATTTTTGTATATCTTATTAATAACTGCATGAATCACTCACACAATAGCATGATACATACCGTACGGGTATAAAATTCCATGGAGTATTTAATTTCGCGGATTTCGTGGGTGACTTCTCAGCCACAAAAATTAATACCCCGGAAATGCTCATTGCACATGCGCAGCAGGTGAAAATCAATGACTTAATGAAAGTGCACGTGCAAAAACGCGAAATTTAACCCCCTCGAAATTAAAGAATTAAGAGCTTTTCACTAAAACACAAAATTTTATACCCTCAAAATTTTATACCTGTATGGTAGTTACTTACCTAATTGTGTTTCTTTACCTTGCTCTTTAATTTTACCAACAATTCAGTGGCTTTTCTTCAGACTGTTTAAATTCTTAGTGATTTGAATTGATCATAATGTTATTATGTGTTACAAACTCATGTTTACCTTCTTTCTCAGATTGAAATAAAGCAAGCTGCTCTTCTAGTAATTTGTTCATTTCTTTCAGTTCCTTATTCTCCTATTATTATCATAACAATAAATAGTTCACATTTCTCACTAACTTCTTTATGTTCTGTTAAATGTGATTCTTTTTCTTGTAATAACTGCTTTGTCTCAGCTAATGATAATTTTAAAATAAAGTATTTCAAAACATTTATACCTTTAAACCTCTCACTATCTGCTATACTGACATTTAGCATCTTGTTTTTAGTATCCAGTGCTTCCTTTAATGACTTTGTTTCTTCTTTCATTATCATATTTTCCTATGAAATAAGTAAATTATTAAAAATTGGTACAAGTCATAGTCAATGGTCCATGCCACACTTCATGTTAATTACATTAGAGAAGTTTATATAGTCACTATACCTCATTTAAAGTAGTAACCTCCTCCTCACTATTAATCAGTTGTACACTCAGTGATAGCATCAACTGTTTCATTAAACTACTACTAGTTGATAATGATGAGATGTAGTGATGTTTATCTAGATGATAGTATATACATTATAAAAAAATTTAAGAGCACAAGGCTTACTTAGTTCTGTTGTAGCAACAGTGGAAGTGTCGTTTACCTTTTATACTTAAAGTAATGATAAAATCAGCTCATATTGTTTACCTCATACACAGTGCAGTATCCAATGGTTAATTTCTTCACTTTGTTTTCTTTCAAAACATCAATATTATTAAGAGCAGCTGTAATTAACTGCTCAGATAGAATCAAAGAGAAGGAACAAGTGATAGCATATGACTTAGCTCGTTCAACCAAAATATACTTGACATGCTGAGATAAACTTTCAAATATAGCTGATGACAATCTTTTGACATCATTGAGTATAGCTTCAGCAGCATCTTTATCAACAACAATGACTATTGTTTCACATTCGAGTGGTGAAGCATATGCAAACTTTTCCTCCAGATATTGAGTGAGTTTTGTTTCACTAAATGCTTTAATGGCTTCATTATAATCCTGGATAACTGCTTTAACCTCATTGATATTGAGCTCATCAACAACAAACTCCAGCATGCTGATATCATTGAGTGAACAATTTGTGCTAATCAGTTCCAAAATGCTATTAATGTTTTGGCACTGATCTACTTGAGGCTTTAAGCTATTGTTGTATATAATCAACATATATTTGATATCATCAAGTGTTGAAGACTGTGAGTTTTTTGTGATGATGACTGATTTCACTTTGAAGAATATTTTCACAAATTTTAATCGCATCGACTTAAAATCTGAATTTAAGCTCTGAGGAAGATAAATTTTCAATCCTTCAGCTACAATAAAATAATACATTCAAATCAGAATTGAATATTTTTGTTACCGTTATCATCATTAAATTCAATTACATCATTAATACAAAAGACTTTCTCTATAAGGTATAACAATTTAGCTATAATGTTGTGCTTATGAATCAACTTACTGTACTCATTCTGAATAGCATACCCTATGTCAGCAGTGATTGTAATGTGGCACAAAATGACAGCAAGTGCTTCAAGTTTTTGATAGTCAGTACAAATGGCTTCCTTAATTTGAATCAGCAAAATCTCTCCTTGTACATTGGTAGAAAGCATCATCTCTTTTATCAGCTTCTCTGCATGCAAGAATTTAACCAACTGAGGTAACGCAGACACAAGAGATTGGTTTGAGGTATAATGAGAAAGAATTTTACAAGCAGGATGAACTAAACATGCATGTATAACTTAAATTAAAAATAATAGCTTTATTAAACTCACTCTCCATATCTATTCCATCAGCTACTCCATTCTCTCCTAATTCCCTCAATGCTGATACCAATGAATAGATAGTAGGACCACCTTTCTTTACTACATCATCAGCTTTCTGTAGCCATTTAGTAAGACAGTCACTAAGACACCTTCCAGTGTCTCCTCTGTGATCAGCTTCAATGACACTTATTGTATTAGGAGACAGACCAAGAAAAAGACTGAGCCTGTAGTAACGGTCTTCTGAATAGCCATGTCTTGTAAGCAATTGAAGTAGGTCAGAAAGGTCAGTAACTATTATACATATATAGAGAAATCAAGTTAGACTGAAGCGATTTACATTACGTACATGAATCTTTTATGGTTCAGCAAGTACATACATAGGAGAGCTTCATGCTCAGATCTGTCAGTCTTTCTTTTCTTGAGAGAGTTTCCTCCTTCCCATTCGTTAGAAGTCTTTCTTTTCCCTGCCATGTCAAGTGAAGTTGATCCAATAAAGTATCTAGATAGGAGGGGCTGAACCACCCAAAAAATGCAAAGCTATTTTTATTTTTGTGATAGTTGACTTGACTGATTTGGCTTGAACTGAGTGAGTCTGAGGTAGTCTCATGTTTTGTAAACTGATAATTCTATTTTATGTACTATTAGTGTCTATATATTTATCAGTAGTACTGGAGTAACTGATGGATCAGTGATACAATCATTGATACAAGTTATGACTGATGAGAATTACCAGCTCACTGGACCCTGACTCTAAGAAGTTAGTCTATAATTATTATTTATTTATACTACTGTATGGCTACAAAATATCACGTGGGATTAATTTTCATTATTTTTGTTGTGTGAAGTTTTAATCCAGTGAAATTCTTCATATGACCACACCTTATAGTGCTTTAAATAGAAAACATGAAATTAAAACACTACGAAATTAATATTTTCCCAAAATTGTGAAAGTTTAGCACCACAAATATTTGTACCGGTACAGTATCTGTTATTGTTATTGCTGTTGTATGAGGAGGAAGGAGAGAGAGAAAGAGGGAGAATAGTTCCACTTTTATGGGCTATTGCATGATAGTGGTATTTTATAGAAAATTTGCCCATTTTCAAAAAATAGCCATAACTCAAAATTTTTTGGTCGGAATCAGCTCAAACTTTCTACACAGTATAAGGACATCAATTGGTATCAGAAAACGTAATAAAAATTGGGGGTGATTTTGGACCCATTTTTGAAAAAA